TAGGGGTTTAGGGTTTCAGGGCTTATCTGTGAAGGCTGAGCTTGACTATTCCATTGTAGGCAAGAGGTTGATACAGAAGGTTTTAAGCATTGTAGACTGTAATACTTCCATTTGAAGTATGCTTGGCGCCTCTGATTTCAGGTTCCGGTTGAACACGTCCCTGACTTCCCGCAATATTAATTTCTCTAGCGCAATCAACGCTTCTCGCTGTGGCAACTCCTCACAATTAAGTTCTTCCAAGAACATCATTCTGGCTAGAGCTGGTTTATCATCCTCTAACGACGAGTATGGCACCCAACATATTGGGGTTCCGACACAAAATAACTGCCATTCGAGTGTGAGGGGGGTGATTAATGCAAGGGGAAAGACGAATTCTGCGGGCAATGGCATTCAATCTTCTCAAAAAAATCCATACAACATCCTTGACAGGGGCTGTATCTCTGTGCGTAGGCTTCATATATATATATAAATATAGACACAAACTCATATGAAAACTCTGAGCTTCCTGCGCCTGCTTGCCGGAATGCGTGAACTTCCGCGAGACCTCCGACAAGCAAGGTCTGTGGCTATGACGGAACCACAGGAGTAAACCCTAAACCGCGCACGAGAATCAGAGAACCATGAGAATGGCATTGAGGCAGCATCTAGGGTCTTCAAGATTACGTTGAAGAACCGTTGGGGTATACTTGCGGCACGTATTTAGCACTACTTTGGTAACTCTGGCTAGGGCTACAGTATCCCCCGGCTGGAAGACTTAGGGTTTAAGGATTAGGATGAATTCCCTCTCCCAGAATTCAGGATGCTTCCTTCCTACAGCAACTTCCAGCAAGAAGTTGCTCTCACGATTCTGTGTTGTCTTGTGACTGGCATCTATACAAGAGCAGAGCAGAATAATGCTTAGCATTCCCCAAAAGGTTGCCACACCTCTGTCCCGCACATCATGTCCGCTTCAATCGACAGCGGCATCAAGGGAATGATGCTACTGTAGTAATCCCCTCCCCCGGACATTAACCCCCCCCCCCCCCCCCCCCNNATAATGTACCACAACGGGAATATTTAATATTAGGGGGCGTGGCGGGGGGGGGGGGTTAAAACAGGGGGGGATTACTAAATTCATAGGCAAGTATTACGACTAAGATAGCATTTTTCAAGCTCAGTGAAGCTTCTCATAAGCTTAATCTGGGTTGCTGTTAAGGAACTTAAATTAAGTTACCATAATGGGTATATATAGTAAAGAATAGGGCTTCCCCAATATAGTAACTTAATTCAAGTTCCTTAACAGCAGCCCAGTAATGCGGTCATGGGTTGTCACAACAAAGAAGGTTTGCTAAATGTAGCCTTGCTTAGCAACCCTTGGTGAAAGACAGGATGTCTCGCATGAAGCTACAGATTAAGGTACTCCTAGGGGCAATGAAAGGCGTCTTCGGGTTCTTTCTTGTGCAAACTTGTTCCAACCCGCATCTGCGCCCCCAACCTTACTTAAATAAGCTCAACGGCTGTTGGCTGAAAGAATCTTGTACATCCCTCCTAAGCTGCCAATTACTATACTATCTAACACCTTTTCGTCGTTTTGCAAAATGGGCATCCGATGGTGAATGTCGGGGTATATCTTGAGTATGAGGAGACTACAAGGTTCCTTTTAGCCATCTGGCAGCTAACCGCCTAGGACCATGCCATAAAGATATGATGCAGTGGCCTATCTTCGGGACGAACAGGTCCCCAACAAAGTCCTTGCTTCAAATCGCATTTGGTGCTCATGCATGTCAGATGTGCGTGTGGGGCAGGCCAAGAATGAAGCTTCCCAGAAACAGCTACTAGACCGCAAAAGTAGGTAAAATAATTGCCCAAAAACCATCAAAACTGCCAAAAGGGCTATTATTCTACATACTTCTGGGGGTTCAGGTAACACAATGTGTATCACATACGCAGCGACTCCCTGCAGTCCTCGCCCGTTCGCAAGAAGGCTGCAAACTCGGTTGCGTAGTGCTTGCATGCCTGCGGTCGGGATGTTGCTCTTACAACATTATAAGGTAGTTTCCTTAAATAGGGGGACCCAATATAGACCCCAAAATACGATAATCCTTATTATGGGGACACCCAAAAAGGTACCCCTAATTTTGGGAAACTACCATTAAGTGCGAGACTGAAGCTTGGCTTCTCCTGTCAAGACCCCACAGATGATTTTGCTGTTGAGCTCAGCAGGTAAACATGAATCTTCAAGGCAGCACGTCATCGGTAGGCATGAAGGTGGCTTCAGCAGTTTAGGCTTCAGGCTTTGGCATATTTGGGATGGACTTGAGCATGCCACTTTCGACATTGTAAGCGGAAGAACCTATGCCAGTTTACCTAAATCGCGTTCCCCAAAGGTCCACAAATAGGGACAACTTACAGTGACCCGCATCATAATAGTAGCCCAAAAGTAGGAGCCGTAGTAATATTCATGTGAGCAGTGTGGCTAGTGTCTTTTGGTTTGAGAGCAAGAAAAGATTGCTATGAAGTCTTAAAACCAGCAGGAGAATGTAATCTTCCTCCTTCTTCGGAACTATGGTACCCTGGTTTAAAATGCTAGACTCTAAAACCCTGACCTCTGAACATCAAATCCTAAACCCACATCCCTAAACCCTTATCCCAACTCTAATCCCTAGACCCTGTCTTTCCGGCTAGACTTTGTGCCGGAGTGCCCTGGGGATGCCGACGTCCCCAATGGTTTTCACGAATGGGTCCTGGCCAGCTTAGATGTGGGACTCCTCAAAAGTGGGGGGACCCCGGGGTCCTTCAAATATTTTCTAAAAACACATACAGTTTGGAGTTTAGGAGCGGGAAGGTGTTGAGGACCTGACAGCCTGCGCGGGGGTTGCAAAGGCACTGTGGGCCCCCTTTTACAGGGCTGCTGTTAAGAAGCTTAAATTAAGTTACCATAGTGCAGGTATATAGTGAATAATAAGGTTTCCGTATGATAGTAACTTAACTTAAGTTCCTTGACAGCAAAACCTGTTTAGGGATGATAATTAGGGGTCCTCTTGAGAAACTCCACCTGAAGTTCAGGTTCACCAGGGGCCACCGTCTGGATGTAGAGCACATTTTTGGTATCAAATTAAACAAGGTAGGATCGAGAAAATGTGCCATGAACATGCACGGTTTCGATGAAACCTCTTGTATGCTCAGTGGGAATCTTTAAGATTTTATTTCAGAGTACCAAATTCTGTTCCCGTCTAAGAAACCTTGAAAGGAAGGGTACGCTGCTTGCCCTAAACCCTCAACCCTAAACCAACCTTAAACGCCTTCTGCCCAAAATAGAGTTGGCCAGGTAGTAGGAGTTCAACCGCAACCGAACAGCTCAAAGGCTTGAGGTTTTAACCAACTTCTGCGGCCCCAGGATCTAAGCCTATAGGGCTTTGTTCGGTAAAACCTATAGGTAACACCTACTTTGGGCCCTAAAAGTCTATAGACAATACCCACTTTGGGACCTTGAGTCTATGAATCATACCCTCTTCAAGCCTTAAAGCCTGCACGTGATACCTCCTTTGAGCTATGGCGGTTATTTGTATCCCCACTCGTATAGGAAAGGAGGCCTCCCGCTGCCGTCCGAGGAAAACTCCCCATTCATCCAAGGCCTCTGGAAGCAGGGCATGCTGTTCAAATTTCAATTTACTAGATTGCCGATGCTACATCAAAGTACACACAATACTATGGACCTATAGCAAATAATGCGGTTTCTTCGTAATGGTAACGCGTTTTAAGTTCCTTCACCGTAACCTGGGTTGTCAACCTGACAACAGAGGCTCATGGGCTGAGGGCAACTCGTGTGACTTCTGCCTGGGATTGCGGCTAAGCCCATTTCGTCCTCGTTGAGCTCTGTAATCTCGCGGGCAGGCAGAGCAAGACACACGGTTGATGCTACAATTCCTGCATGCCCTTGCTATGCAACGACATAACTCCAAACCATGCGGTACTCAGAGTCATGCGGTATTTTTCCCATCCACCCGTAGTACTACACGCATACAACTACATCTTTCTTGCGCCACGGCATCTCATGTAGCGCGAAGCAAAAAGTGCTTGAAGGAAAGCCATGCCTGATGGGACTTGAGAACTGCAGGCATGTCCAGCTTGATCGGGTTCAGAATCTCAGCAGTTTCAACAAGAGCCCATGTGGGTGGTTGTCAAAATTACGGTCCCTTTTTGGGTACCCTACTTATTAAGTGCCGTATCATACTAGGGATCCAAAAAGGGACCATAATTTTTGACAACCACGAATGTGAAAGGCCAACAGGCGCAAGCTTACAACGCTTCAAGAAAGGTGAGATACTGCCTGTGCTTAGCGGCAAGCATGCTGATTCCAACCTCCTAGGCACCGCAAACCTTAGATTTTTGCCTTAAGCGAGGATCTGAAAAAGCTCATGGCAACAGTCATGAGATTCGGATTGTAGAACCATACTTGCTGGCACGCTCACCCTCGATTCTCATGGGTGCCAGGCTGAGAGCACATACCCTCGGTCGCTTCGCTGCTCGACCAGGTAGAACCTGTTGCTGGCAAGATGTACAGGTGTTCTGTTGTTGAACTTTTTGCATGTATATTCATGTTCTGAGTATGCATTTCTCTATTCTGGTGGTTGCCAGGAATTGATGGGCACAAGGGGGGTACAGTTTGCATCACCCCCGATACAAGGGGGTCCCAACAGTGATGTCACGTCACGGCCGCACACCCTTGGGCAACTTTGCGCTTTCTAGGTCTCGATGACTCTGGCTGCGTGGGCTTGAGGTTGGGACGCCGTGCTCGGCGGGGTGTGTTACAAGCATCCTCGGCGCACTCCGGCATACTACGATTATTCTACATGATTACTACTGTTGTTTGGAACGCTTACTACTGTTTGTATTACTATCATCAGTCCTATTTTCTGTTGCGTTGTTGCCAGGCCTGGAAGAGGTTGTGTCAGAGAGCGCTGCGTGAATCGAGCGCATGTTGGGCACTAAGCATGACAATCCCCGCTGGCCCGGTATAGAACACGAGAATGATGATTCAGGCCCAACATGGCATGCTGATATCAAGAAAGGTAAGAACAACAGTAGTAATAATAATAACGATGTTTTAGCAGTGGGAGGAGCCACACAGAATCTTTCAGTGCCATCGGTCTGATACGTCGTCACCACCACCTCTGCCGCCGCACCACCACGACTGTTTCTCTTTCTAGTCCTTGTCCTACTCCTAGTCTTGCAGCTAGTACTACTCCTCCTGCTGCTGCTACTCCACCTGCTTCTGCTAAAACAACGACTGCTACTAGTATTGTGACTGCTACAACTACGATTCGCGATGAGACATAACCCTAAACCCTAAACCTTAAACCCTAAACCTTCATTAACCCCTACGCACTAAACCCCTGAATCCTAAATCTAGACCCCTAAACACTAAAACCTGAACCCTAAACCGTCAATGGCACTCCTTAGTCATCTTGGTCTCCCGCGTCTGCTGTAGCACGAAGAAGCGGTCCCCACATCTCTTCTCCAGGAGTAGCAGGCTGACCTTTGGGGGTTATGTAGGGGTAATGGAAAAGAAAATGGAAACTACAGTTTAGGGTTTAGGGTTTAGGGTTGGGGTAATATGGGTTATGTGGGGGTAATGGAAAAGAAAATGGAAACTACCATAATGGGGTTATATAGGGTGGAGGGTTTAGGGTGTAATGGAAAAGAAAACGGAAACTACTGTAGTATGATGGGGTTCTATTGGGATACTGCAAATGGAAACTACTATAGCATATCAAGCTTAACTTAGGTGGTGGTAGGGCTCGACGGATATTTTTAGGAGATTTTGAAATTTAGGGCGAAGTAAAGTTTTAGGGCTTGGGGTTCTAGAGGGGTTGCATCGCATACATGCAGGCTGTTCAAGGGATCAAGTGGGTTTCAGAGAGTTGCAAGCTTCCACCAGGCAATATACATGGGAACAAGGGAGGGCCATGCAAGGATTTGATAATGCGGATTGTGATGGCTTTGCGGCGGCACTCCTGCCTCCATTCACATGTCCAAAACCTCTTCTTCTGATCAAGCGTGTTCCATGTTCAACGGGGTCTCAACTTTGCTGAGCAAGTTTGCTTCGACTGCTGCAGTGGTGCTGTCTTGCATTCTGGGGTCAATGTAGGGGGCTTTGGGACGTGGGGGGTTTAAGAGCTTAAGCTCTGGGATCAGCTCATGTCTGGGATCTCTCAACTAGCTGCAATGCCTTTTGAGATGTCTTCAGTGTGTGGCATGCAGCGTGATACGGGCATATGTGTTGATTTTTACCTGTGCTTGCAGCAGCTTTGATACACGTTGACTGCTGCGGTTACTTCAGGGTTTCTAAGTTACTTAAGTTTGAGGTCCCCGACAACTTGCAGCCTCACGCTATGACATCTCACAAGCTTTCGTCCAAAAGAACCCACGCCTCTGCCAGATACGCATGTGCCGTCATCACGTCATGGCTAGCCAACCCTCAGCAACTCCAAGTGAAGGACCCTCCGGGAGTGCCCCAGAAACCTGTGGCCTACCGTTCAAAATCCCATTGCCCCTCCTGCCTGAAAGTCATAATAGACGTTCATATAGGGAGTTGAGACTATAGCTCATGTGAGTAGCGTTGTTTTAGTGGTTGAACCTGGTAAGATTATATTCCTCATATAAAAAACTATACCCCAAAAGGAGGATAGAATCTTACTCTATAATGGGTACTATAGTATCCCCAAATGAAATACTACTCATGTAGAATTTTGTTTGTAAGCAGCCGTCTACAGTTGGGGCGTTGTCAGGTGGGTTGTCTGCCTAATATTCCCATACAACTTCCAGTGGCATACAAGGCCCATTGGAGACTACACACCTCACAGCTACCCACCAGGAATGGGCTACAAATTTGGGTTGCAATCCATCTGGAGACAAGGCTTCCTCGGGCCTAAGCGCTTCCTCCGAAGCACAGCGACCTGTAACCCGCTCCAGGTAAGTATACTACGAAGCACTAGTGTTGTATACACTAGCAGATCAGGAATTACAAGAGACTATTGCTATGGGAGGCTATCTGGTGATCACCTGAGATTTTCCCTACCCAGGTCCCCCCCAGCCCCAATCTTTTTTGACCAGCTCATCCTTTGCCGCAGTCGAAGCGGGCACCCTTCACCGAGTAGCCACCTGCCGAGGGGCCCTTATAGTTTTCAGTGCTAATTTCAGGACTGGGATTGCTAGAAATCACAGGGATTCTGTATGCATCTATTGGGAGTGTACGATTCAAGGCTTCTGCTGCTCGGGATGCCTTTAAAGATCCCTGAAGACGAGAGCCTGGGCAGGGCCTTCTCTGATTTGAAACATGTCTCGCGCAGAAAAACGGACATGTAGTCTGCAGCGCGGAGATTCGGTGATCGATAGCGTCTGACGTAAGGATCGCCTCTGCAGCATGTCCGAGTTCCTACAACGAGTAGTCTTCTTCTGCCACATATATTGCTCACTGCGACAAGGCAGAACACGCAAGCTATTGCAGTCCCGCGTAGCAGCAAGGCTGAGTTGCAAATTGAAGACCAGCTTTACCCCGGAGCCCGGCCCAGCCACATTTATGAACCTTCTGGACGCCGAGGACTCCACCCTAAGACTGTCTTCCCAAAAACCTGGCGCTTGTCATAGTAAATGTCTTATGTCTCACAGCTATACGGTCATATACTTCCTACATGAAGCTTCCCAATCCATATTCCTGTGGTTTGAAGGTAGGATCTACCATTGCCAGCGTAGACATACCCTGGGCAACCCTGCCCAGGGCCACTTGTAACGCAGCTGAGGTGCAGAGGAACTTTTCGAATATGCCTTTCTTCTTCTTAGCGCTGTGGGCAAAGTGCGCCAGGGACACAGTTCCTCAAGGCATCAGGAAACCAAATGGTCAAAGCGCAGGAACAGGGCTTACAGGTGTGTGACACAAATCCTCAACCTCTCGCCCACCCCGGCTGGCCGGATATTCGGCCTTCTCATGTGTTTTCTATATATACGTACGTATATAGTATGTAGAAGTATACACGAATACTTGAGGCCTGGCATCTGTCCTCCTTTGATTTAAAGAGCCACTCGCTGGATCGCTGCAAAACATTCGCGAGGAGCAATAAATGGGGAATCATCGGAAAATGACATGGAAAATGAAGTGGCAGCCGGGATTCTAGAGAGGGTGTTATAGAGAGAATGCTCGAATGAGCTGTAGTCTAAAGTCCCAGTATCCGCCTTAACAAGCCCCATGATACTCCTCTCAAGAATCCCCTATAAAACCCCCTTTGAAGGAGTTTAGACTATGGCTCATATTGGGCAGAGTCAACTCTTGGGCCATGTCTCGACCAGGCCCACTCCTCACAGCATGCCACCAGTAGAGCCTCAGCTCAGGGTTTACTTTCTGGTTCTGGGTAGGGAATTACGCGAAGATAGGGTTCAGGGTTTAGGGTTAGTAGAGAAGGAGGATGAATAAGCGAATATATTATACAGGGATTTTGTAGGAATTCGAGGAAAATAGGGTTTAGGGTTTCGGGTTAGTAGGGAAGAAGGGAATATATGAGGATCTTATAGGGAGTATGTTCCCCTATTCCTTACTCAGAACCAGTAAGTTTACGACTTGGTTGGTGTTACGACTACTGTTGCTACTCCGTTGCTATTACTGCTACTGTTGCTACTGCTCTTGCTATGACTGTGACTCTTACTGTTAAATGGCTTCATACTGAGGATGTGGGCTAAAAATACCCAGCAAAGCCAGAGTGATACGGCTGATCATGCGTGTAATGGGTTTTGAAGTTGAGAGCCTGAGGATGACATAAATGCTTCCAAAACGCTGGATCCTCTTGGACCTTCATCTGAGCACATTACCGCTGCAGACCCCATAGTCCCCCTTGAGTGGATAGACTATGGCTTTGGGTATGTTATAGTAAGATCCCTATGGCTTTGGGTATATGATGCCCAAACCCTAAACCCCAAACCCTAAACCCAAAACCCTAAACCCCTATTATATCTACCTACTGGGGGACGATAGACCTTCGCCTTGTCGCCTAGCAGCGGCACGTACAGCCATTGTCCCGCGCGGACACGGCAACGCCGCGGCAGTGCAAATCGAAAGTAAGGGTAGTCCTGAGGCAGATATTATAGTATATTATAGTAGGGTATATTATAACATCTATAGATATATGTTATAATGTATTCTAGGATGGTGTATTATAACATGTTCTCATAGAGTATAGTATAGTCTCCTGGGGCAGATGCTGGGCTTTCCGCGTAGGGCTCAAGTTTTACCTCCTCGGAAGGTGAATGGGGCTTAGGGGCTTCAAGCGCCACTGGAATGGAGCTTTCTACTCGCGGGCTCACGGTATGAGGGGCGTCAATCTACAAGCTACTTAAAATCCAGAGACGTTGCCAGACAAGCAACTTCATCTGCAAACTGTCCGCCATATGAGCCCCTGGGTTCAAGTCCAAATACACCCGATACATCATCCACGCAAGCTTTCGTGCTTGTGCCCTATGGGATCCCCTCTCCTTTGCTTACTCACTACCCCAACATCCAAACCATAATGTTGTTCCTAGCAATGTGCTTTTTCTGCCGGCTCCTCGAAGACGCTGGGGGACCTGGGCCAGCTCTCCGGGAGAGCTATGGGGTGGGGGGGGAGGAGGGGTAGGGTTTAGGGCAGGTTTTAGGGTTTATATAGTGTTCTCAAATTCTGAGCTCCATTATTTCCATCATGGGTCTCTAGAGTGTAAAGACTCTATCGATTTATCATTATGACTTAGATGAGGCCAAGCTCTAGATTGAGAAGCTACAGACAATACTTACCCAAAAGCCAAAGAACCTGCATGACTTTCCGTGTACCTGTGCCGTTGTATGCCAGCGCATGATAACAGGGGTTGGGTTCCAGCACAATTTTTCAGTGTCCGGGTCCTGTGTCTTGATTTCATCGGATGAAGATAGGTTTAGGTGAGCAGCCTGCGTATTTCAAAAAAAACATTCTGGCTTTGAATCGAACATTTCCTGTCGCTTGACCGGCGTCTCCGTATTTGTCGTGTTGCTTTCGGGTGTTTGCTCATTGTATCTTCTGTTTATTGCCTCTGTTTTTGATGTCGTCGGCGCTGTTGCATTCGGCGGACATGGATCATGGTGGCTGCGTTCAGATTCGGAAGGCCACGTCCTAAGTACGAATCAGAGGCCGTCAAGGGCCCTTCTTGACAAAGAAGGGTGTGTCTCCTTCTTCGGTTGCGAAAATGTAGAAATTCGGCAGCGGCCATGCTACCGGGAAGGAAGTGAGGGACCGCACTTATGCTGCTAGCATTTCTCTCATCTCGGCATGGATTGGGAAAACGCTGTCTCCTGCATCCCGTTGCAGCAGCTCTGACCTTACCTCATCTCATGCTGCCAAGGTTCTCCACATTGATGGGAGACGCGTTTCCGTGCTCGCTGTTACTTCCGTATAGCCTTAGCGCCAAACATCAGAGAAACTAGCAGCCAAACTGTCGTGGTCAATCGAGCACGATCCCCCTCACCTTGCAGAATCTGAAGTTAGTGATTCAGCATGCGTTCTTCATTGCCAGCTCCACACAGAATATAAACGTCTTCCCCCAAGATGTTTGGGTGGCTTAAGAGATACCGAAGCTGCAGTGGACACATGTTAAGCGGACGAGGTACAGCTGGGCGGCCTGAAATGGATCATAGAGCCAAAACTCTTTGGTTCCATCCAACACCTGACTGATTGACATGAAGTGGTAGGATATGCCGCGCGTTCCCCTTGCAGTGGGGCACCAACTGAGTAGTGTTTTTTGGTGGTTGAACCTAGTAAGATTATACTCCTTCTATAAAATACTATACCCCAAACGAAGGATATAATCTTATTCTATAATGGGTATCATAGTATCCCCAAATTAAATACTGCTCAACTAAGCTTGCGTGCCTGAACCAGATTGTCCGCCGCATCGTAGTGCAGGTAAAGGGACGGACCTTCTCAAGAACATCTATCCCGAAAGAGGTAGGACCTAATGTTTATATGAGTAGCCGTTTTTTGGGTGGGTTAAACCCAGTAACATATTATTTCTATATAAAATACTATACCCCAAAAGGAGGATAGAATCTTACTCTATAATGGGTACCATAGTATCCCCAAATAAAATACTACTCATATGCAGCTGATGGATTCTGCAGAGCGTCGGCACTGTACAGGGTAGTGATTGATGGTAGCTGGAAGTTGAGTTTGAATCAGCCAGTGCAAGTGCTCTCGTTAGTACAAACATGTGTATACAACCACCACCTGACGTGGCGTGAACAGCACTGAGATCGGGCTAAGACCACGACAAGGACCACTCCTGCTGTCGCGAATTCAGTATCGGCATGATGTATGTATTTCTCTGCCACCACGGCTTTCTCGCAATGTTCAACCGGAAGTATAGAATGCACGTTTCGTGGGCCCCTTTTGGATCCCTGCTCGAGTACCGGTTCGTCATTTTGCGGGATATTTATGTGTGCATATCTACATAAGTATGGAAACAACAAAAGTCTCCGACTTTGAGAAACACAGGTCAGGCAGCCTGGCTCGCCACTTCCACCATGGTAGTAGAGGTAGGGTGATGCTGCAAGTCCTCCCCTTGTACCGTTCCTCAGCTTCAGCTTCACTGCTGTTGTTGTTGACTGCCGACGTCAACAAAAGGGGAAGAACATGACCTCTGCCTGGCTGCCGCTGTTGAATGAGATGACACGAAACATGCATGCCGGCAAAAGGATCGGCGGGCGTCTGCCAAGCTTCTTCCAGAGGGCCCTTGGCGCAGGGGGCAAAGAGATGGAGAAGGCGTGTCCATTGTGTCCCATCTTGTGTTGGCTGTGCTGCGCAGAAATGGCCGTGTTCTCAAACACCAACTACGGAAAATCAGACAATGTGCAGTAGTTACGAGCGGGCAGCAAAACACTTAGGCAAACATACTCTTCTGCCCCATTTCTATCAACCCCGAGACTTATTTGAACAGGGCACCTACTACCAGAATACCAGGCACGAGACACCACATGGCTCAGCTAGCACGTCAAATCTCCTGACTCCACCCTAGGGGTGCAAGTACGTATCTAACTAATCTATAATTTGGGTCATAATGGGTTCCTGTATATGTACTCTGGGCTCATATGATCTATAGTCAACTCCCAGAAACCCCCTTAACAACCCCCTATAATTGTCCCCTACATAATCCCCTTAGAACCCCCTTTTTGGAGTTTAGACTATGCTCGATTGACCGCTTATTTAGGTCCTTGGACCCCTATAGGGCCATAGCCCTAAGCGCGGTACGGTCAGCGCCAAGGAAACGCTGAGCTCTGGCAGGGAGTTTGGTATGCTCACCTGACTCGTAGTCTAAAACCCATAAAGGGGGTTTTATCAGGGGTTTTATAGGCAACTGTTACAAGGGTTCGTAAGGGGGATACTGGAAGCTTAGACTATGGCTCACCTGAGTCGTCTCTTTCTTGACGCTTGAAAGAAGATGTCACTCTTCTTGTGAAGCACAAGCACGATCACTAAAAAGAAAAACAGCATCTTACTTGATTACCCCTAATGAAACAGGCTTGAGGCTCCAGTGCCCTTTGGGCAGGAGGAACCCTGGAGACTCTTGACTTGGACCTGTGCACTGTTTCAACATGCCGCCCTTGATGCATAAAATTTGGGGTGCTGAATGGGCATCATTGGCAGTCCTTGTCATGAGGTACTGTGAGCAGTATGGGATACATCAAATAGCAAGAAATGCCCCTACTTTATGTTTTCAATTTCACCCTGAGCTGAACTCACAAGAACAGGTAAAAAAGCAGCCAATATTATACTAGTCCTTGCACCCCCTTCAAGCCCACTGATTCCCCGCCAGAAGCTCCCAGAATGCATGAGCTTGCACCCTGCCAGTACCCAGCCTGCGCCACGTAGAAGTGGCCTGCCAGGGGTCCGCCAGCCAAAGCTTCGGCCAGGCTAGCGTTGCGCTTCGCTGCCTTCTTCTGGATCTGACCGCCTTGCAATACCAGACGGGCCAAAATCACTGGTGACAGGGCTTTTGTGGGTAGATGATAAGGAACCAGAATGTTGGAAAAAATGTGTCATCTCTTGCAAACATGTGCTACAGGCTCATGCGCCGGGCCTTCCCTAAGAACCCTCTCAGACTGGTTGTAGGACCCATTTTCAAAACTGAATCGCTGCAGGGTCGTTGGCGTAGCGTTAATTGGAACTGAGTTGTCCGCTCGTGAATTTGGGCCCGAGGCTCAGGAAACGCAACTGCAATGATGGGCTCAAAAGCTTGACCCAACACTGCGGCCAGGACACTGCTCGTAACAGCATCAATATTTTCAGCGACTAGTTTTATGCTTATGCCGCTTAAGCCCTGCTTGAACAAGACACCAGGACCACCCCACCCTGTTGTGCATATAAACCTGCATGGCGGGTAGACTTAGTAAACCCATATGAGCCATAATCTAAACTCCTAGTATCCCCCTTCATAACCCCTATAATATTCCCCTATACAATCCCCTATATAACCCCACTTTAAGGAATTTAGACTATAGCTCATATACACCCCAAACTCTCCTGGGTTGACTGACTGAGCCGCCCTACCGTTCTAACACACCGAACCATCGCAACTTCCCAGGGAGCCCAATACCCCTTAATTAAGGAATACAGCTTAAATCATACTAGGGATCCTAGTACCATTTAGGGTATATCCCTTAATTAAGGGGTATTGGGCTCTCTGGGTTCAAGCCTGACCAAGATAACATTTTCTACACATGACTTTTGTTACCATTGCTGTACTACCCCTACTTAAGAGTAGTTCCATGTTCTTTTCCATGATCCCTATACAACCCTTACATAACCCATTAGAATTCCAATATTTGGGAATGCCAGTGTTGCTCGCAGAGCCTTGCTCCCGAACCCCTGAAATCCTCTACCCATCAATCAGCAGCTGTTGCTCCATAAGCTCCCAGCTCCCACCTTACTTTAAACTAACAGACCCGAAGGCCTGCAACATAAATCCGACACCCCAGAAGTTTACCAGAACCAACGAGACCCCAAGTTAGTAGGAATGGAGGAATGGATCTTCGTGTCCCTAACCAATTTACTGTGCACCAACAGCTTCCATTGTCTTTTCATTCCTCCATTCCCTACTAACCACGCGCCTAACCACCCAAACCCTGAACCCTCAACCCAAAATCCTAAACCCTAAACCTCAAGAATACTCACAGCTTCGAGCCTTTCGCCATCTCCCTGCTCAGGGATTCAGCGCAGGCACCCAATATGTGGGTTTCCCAAAATTAGGGTGGTTAAGGGCTCAGGGGGGGTTTAGGGTTTAGGGTGAGTTAGGGATACCATGTCGTGGGACCCCATAAAAAGGACCATAGTATGTTTGGGTCTATATTGGGGTCCCCATAATTTGGGAAACTACCATCTTGGTCTCCAAGCTACAAGTAGAAAGTGCCAAAGGCTACATCAAAGGAGAATCTCATATTGGAGAACTGCAGCTGCGTGTTTGCTGATGCGTCGGTTGCCCGGCCCGCGAGACACTTCATCTTAGATCACATCTGCTGTCAACACCTAATTGCGACCACAGTGGGTGATTTGGTGTTTGGAGATCTTCTGATTAATCTGGGTTGCTGTTAAGGAACTTGACTTTAAGTTACTATAATGGGTGTGTATATATACAGAAGTTAATATGGTTTGCCCAATATAGTAACTTAGATTAGGCTCCTTAACAGCAGCCGAGTAATTGCTGGGCGGATAGGTTCACTGTGCTTCAAGGTTTGACAATCAGCCAAGCCGCCGCAAACCTAGGCTTCTTGCCAGTTCACCCATTGGGGTAATATGAGGGTTTTATCGGTGTTATATAGGGAATAATGGACAATAAAATGGAAACGACTATAGTGGTTGACTTATATGGGTGGTTGTCAAAATTATGGTGCCTTTTTGGATCCCTGGTATAATACGGCACCCAATATTTAGGGTACACGAAAAGGGACCATAATTTTGACAACCACCTATATACACCTTCCAAAGTGCTTCTGGACTCGGAAATCCCCAGCAAGAAGTGACAGCTGGTTCCAGCCTGAGCTCCACCGTGCGGTGGCCAAGGTCTCGCAACTGGGCATCGTCAAGCCTTATGATTGATGCACTTTGTAGCTGAAAATAGTAGTTTCTATTTTCTTTTCCATTATCCCAATATAACCCCAACACATACTATAGTAGTTCTCAGTATATAACCCCAACTATAATAACATTCCGTGGTATGTTATAATAAGTTTTGAAGAAAGCGAAAGCTGTCAGGCGACGCCGTTTGGTGCAGCGTGCTGCAGGTTAATGATACAGCGTGTGTGAACGGGGCGGAGGGTGCAAATAGCCCCGCACGGGCAGGTTCTGTGTCCATGCAGGCCTTTCGGTCAGGTGCTGGCTTTTGAAGGTGAAGGCTGCGCGATCATGAACATCCGAGTTTTGAGATGGCCTCAACCAGCTTGCTCTAACAATCCATGGGCTCCCATTAGGGACCCTTCACCCTGACAGCCCAGAGTCCCCCCCACAGCTTCCGCGCAAAATGAAGCCTGGAGCCTAACCTACACTGGGTTGCTGTTAAGGAACTTAAATTAAGTTACCATAATGGGTATATATAGTAAATAATAGGGTTTCTCCAGTATAGTAACTTAATTTAAGTTCCTTAACAGCAACCCCATATATCCTGCTATTCTTAGACTTGAAGCTGCGAAGCACGGGCGCAGCGCCTTTCGGCACTTTGGTCACCCGGAGTGGGATGTTGCGCCAGAGATGCTCTGCCAGTGCAACCGGAGTTTCCTTGGCTCGGGATTCAGGGTTTAGGGTTTAGGGCAGGGCTCAGGTAACCTAGAATTCCTCGAAAATTCATACTTCCAATATCAAGACGGCTTTTCTGGTATGTTCTAAACTCTACACCCTAAGTCCCACATCCTGAACCCTGGACGCTGCGCCGTAAGCCAGGGCAAACAACAACTTCCCTGCTGCAACAGATGGTGGCTTCAAGTTGGGGCTCAGGCCTTCCAACTTCAAGGCAACACAATTGTTGAACGTAAACAATGGGTCTTGATACAGGGCTTAGGGCTTAGCATCTTACAGCATGATTGTGCTCAAATCATTAAGTGCCGAAAGAAACACAGATGGGGGTTTCCCTTAATTAGGGGTACCTTTTTGGGGGGTCCGCATAATAAGTGTTGAGCTCCCCTTATTTAGGGAAACTACCAGATCCGTCCAATGCTTCCATGCTGCAGGAGAGCTGTACCTCCCGGGTTCGACAGCCATATACGGATAATGGACAATAACATGGAAACTGCTATTTAGGGTGTGGGGTTTGGGGCTTACGTTTTTCTTCTGCAACACAGGAAGTCGCAGGATAGAATGCTAGCTGAAACTCCTGATTCCCCGTACCTGGGCCCCAGATTTGAGAAACCGTCGCATAGCGCTCCTAGCTCTCATGAACACTGTCAGTTTCAACCTGCTACATTGCTCTGATCATATCGCAATGACTCCAGAATCTGAAGTTCAGCTGGTTTGGAATCACTTGGGGTGAGGTCGGCTGAGGTCGTGAACAACTTCCCCGATTCATCTTATCAGATGTGTCAGGGCATTCTCAACGCTGGCGGGTTCAACTGTGTAGAACGTGCACAAAGAAACGCCTTTCAGAAACCCGACTCCCCCTCAGATGCCAGAAGCCAGCACGAATGGGTATCTCACAATCCCGAAGATACTATATCAGCTATGCGAACAGTTAGTTCTTCCACGGACCC